ATGTTTTGGGGTCTATAAGACTTTAATAACAGATGTTAACCTCTCCCACGTTTTAACCCAATGTTCTTAGTTTTTTTTTTTATTCCTTGCTAAGATACTAAATCACTTTTGACAGTTATGTAATTCATACCAAATCACTTAAGAAAATTCAATCACGTGCCAAATAATTAGGAAAATAAAGTTGTTTAAATTGTTTGTTGATGACTAATTGTTAATTAATATAAAAACAGGGGCGTAGCGAGGGGGGGGGGGGGGGGGTGCGGACCGCACCGGGTGACACCATTTAGGGGGGGGTGACACCAAGGCAAAAAAATAGCAAAACATATACAAAAAATGATAGTTCCACTTTACAAAGTGGTTAATTAGAGTGTTCAAGTCAGTAGACCGTCCATGAGTCCACCCAACTCTGATGGGTACCTAACTCATGTTAGGTAAAGTAAAGGCGGCTGGGCATAGTGCTGACCACACTATCTCTTCATATGCCGAGGTCACAGAAACAAGTGAACTCTACTTCAGTTGCCCCATAGACCGTCAGGCTTGAAAGGGATCTTTACTTTTTAAAAAAAATTAGAGTGTTAAATAGTCTTTTAAGAGCAAATTTGATAAATCCTGACAAGGGTGGAGGGGGGTGGGGGTGGTGACACCATGACGTAAACCTGCTAATGATAGAGAAAACATGCTACATCAACACTTTTAACCCTCTTCAAAAAATAAAATAAAAATAAATCATTCTGTCTAATGCCCCTTGATATAGATCCTAAGCCCCCCCCCCCCCCCCCCGTCGCCCACTTCCCACCCTTCTGCACGCAACTGAATGTTAATTTTGTTATACCAAGACAAGTAGGCCTACATATACGACATCTACAACAAGAAAGTTAGGACTAGCGTTCATCAGGTCACTAACTGTATACTACAGGCATCCCTTCTGCTCACTAAAAGGACGTCTTCATCGGTATCACTTTACGTGTTGCCCAAGTTTACATTCCATGTCAGGTCGGGGGCTGATTAGCGTCCAACAATCTCCAGTCAGCTCAGGTCAAATGCGAGGCGACCGTACCCTACACAAAGGGGAGGTGTGTGACACTATTTTTGTATCGAATTACGGCCTGTCCCAGTTCAGGTGGGACTCACCAACATCAACCGTGGCCTCAGTTATAACAATCAACAACTTCGGCATTCGACCATTTAGTTTTTCCCCATTGAATTCAGCAACAATTTATTTGAGTTTACAAACTAATTTAGATAACCATGCCAGTGCCAGAGGCGTAGCGACCCTTCCCGGCGCCCGGGGACATACTTTCAATTTGGCGCCCCCTCGGGAGCAAATTTTCGATTTGCACCCCCCCTCGAACTTTTCATTTGCACCCCACCCTCAAACTTTCGATTTGCACCCCCCCCCCCCCTCGAACTTTTCATTTGCACCCCCCCCCCTCAAACTTTCGATTTGCACCCCCCTCGAACTTTTCATTTGCACCCCCCCTCAAACTTTCAATTTGGCGCCCCCCCTAAGGTCGGCGCCCGGGGACATATGTCCCCCCCCCTCGCTACGCTACTGGCCAGTGCTGAAGCGCGGGGCCTCTTCAAGCGCGGGGCCTAGGGCGACCGCCCCCTAACGCCGGCTCTGCATACTATTACTAACATATCATATCAGCATTTTTGCTATAACTTGCAAATCAAATATAGTGTGCACTATATAACTACGCCAACGCAAAAAAATATTAGCCCCTCTACTTCGAAAACTTACACACAAGATCCAGTGTCCGTATTTATTAGTTAACTAATACAAATATAATCATGCTAAATTAGAATACAATTATGATTTACGAACAGATAGACTTAATCTTTTGAAGCCCAAGGGGAGCGAACTGCTGCAGCTACATCTCTGCACCGCACTAAGGTTTGAGCATTTCTCGTTAGTTGAGCTCACGTACACACACCAGCCCTTGCCTCTCCTTCTACTGGCCTTATCCAAGATTCTTTAGACCGGCTCATTTTTCTTTTCCCCTGGTGGTTCCTGTCTGGCACTTGTGTCGCGATGTTGATATCTTCTCCTTTATGTCGTCCTCTATACATCCTCATTTGTGGGCTTTAATATCCCCGTGTATCGAAGGTTATTTGGTGGATTTCCAAAAGTCTACATTGAACATTTCGTCTGACCGTCTATCTTATCAGTATGGCTTGATTGAAAAACACGATGAACTATACAAGATGTAATGCTTAATTAGCTCATACACACACACACACACACACACACACACACACACACACACATATATATATACATACTACATACATATATATATATATATATATATATATATATATATATATATATATATATATATATATATATATATATGTGTGTGTGTGTGTGTGCATCACATTCAACGTTAATAGATAAGACATGAAGTGTGGTCTTGTAATTGCATGCATTAGAATTAGCAATAATTAGTTTGAAGTTATTTTCTGTAGTCCACTTGTTCTGTGTATCAGAATGTTTGATACAGCCTTTGTGCCACCCTGGATTAGCTGAATATGACCACATTGTAGAGTACTGAACTCTTGAAAAAACATCGAGAAACAATGATAGTTTGTTTACAGAAATATGTCTATTTCGATCATGACACTTGCATAGATGTCTATGTATTTATTTTTAGATTATAGATGTATGTACTGAAGTGTAAAGATATTGAGGTAGCCCCCGATAGAGATGAGGCTACCTCGAGTGGTTACTATTATTAAAGCTAGTTTAAATATGCAGGGTAGTTGCTACTATATATTGTCTAGTTTATTTTGTGTTAATTTGCCAATTTAAAGCTAGTGCCACTGGGTATGTATGGTAACCATAGGGTTAGGCGTTCTAGGCAGAACTGAAGAATCATAGATCCTCAATGAGCTTCTCCAGCAAAATCTGGTACCTGGCAATAGTAACTGTGCCAGCCAGAGGAAGGGGCAGCACTTTCCCTGCTAATGATGCAGAAATTTAAATTATCGAAAAAGGTGTAACTTTTTGGAGATTTCAAAACATTGGGCGCCAACGCATTATAGTAGAAATCGCCAATTCAATCAATACTTGACACAGAGGGAAAAGAAATTCATTGAAAGTTTCAGTGTAAAAACTTCATACAACTTTCTGTGTCGAGGAACTATTTCCCAACCGGTTGGTTTAGGTAGATTTCTTCCCCGCCTTCAAATTCTTGGTTGGCATAAATTTCCTGATCTTCCTCATGGTTTACCGTCTCGTTGGAATAAATCTCTTGCTGATCTGTTCCGTTCGCGTCTTCGTTCATGTATATCTCCTGATCGTCACACATAGACGCGGTCTCTTGCTGTGGCGGGACGTCGCTGCGCATGCGTGGGGTGTTAGCAATGGCGGAACTAGGAAATTCGTAGTTTTCCGGTTCGGGGTCAGCCGTGTTGGCGTAGATGCTGTCGGTGGCGTTGATCTGCTGGAGGATGGAGGCGGTGTTGGCGTAGGTGTCGTCAGCGGGGAGATCTCTTCTCATCGGGACAGGGGAGTAGGACACCGGGTTGGTGGGGGACGGGAAGGCAAGTGCATCGTAGCTGGGGAGGAGATTTAGATACAAGTTAACACACGGACAGTTGGGTGGAGATGTATGAAGTTAGACGGGGCTTAGAAAGAATGATATTGCCTTTTTGGGTATGTAAAGAGATAGTCTCGAGTTCGAATCCGGGTTCAAGTTACAGAGGCGTAGCAACCCTTCCCGGCGCCCGGGGACAAACATTCAATTTGGCGCCCCCCCGGGGGACAAACTTTCAATTTGGCGCCCCCCCCCCCCCATCCGGGGTTGGCGCCCCCTCATATTTTTTAATATTTATAATGCAAATCTGCAGCTAAAATGAGCTTTTAATTTTTTTTCCAACCCATTTTGGCGTCTCCTAGGGTCGGCGCCGGGGACATATGTACCCTCCCCCCCTCGCTACGCCTCTGTCAAGTTAGTGGAACGTCCCTGAGTCCACCAAGCTCTGATGAGTACCTAACTCACGTTAGGGAAAGTAAAGGCGGCTGGGCATTGTGCTAACCACATTATACCGGCTGGGTGAAATGTGTCATCTGAGAACCATTCATAGTTAAACAAAAATACATTAACAAATTTCAAGAAAATAGCATTGTATATAGAACTAGGCATACTGCCTAGCTTCGCTTAGGTTTTCAAAAAAATTAAGGAATTGAAGAATTAATCAATAGGTGATTGGCTGCTATCTTAAATGCTTAGGGCCTAAATTTATACAGTGGAGTAAGTTCATGGTGCACAGATATTGATGGAATATTCGCAAACTTATCACTCGCACGGTTATTAGAACTGCAAGGGTTTTCTCAATAGTATCAATCAAATATTATAATAAATTAATTTCGCAATTAATTTTTACAATTTCAGTACAATGCAAAACTTAATTTATAACAAAATATTTATTTAAAACAATGCTCTATTTTATGTTTTTTGTTTTTTTCTTGAAAAGAGAATACAAATTTTAAAAAAATCATTACATTAAAAAGTTACTTTCCCTGTTCATAGACCAAATGACCAAATCTCGTATAATGAGAATTTCACTCGCGGTCACTTTTTAGCCCTCGTCGAGGGCTTTGAGGGAAACCGACAGTTTTCCCTAAAGGTCAAGCCATTTACCTAAGAGCATGCAAAAAATTAGCCACATGTAAAGACGGTAAGTGCCCTCAAATCCGTTTTGAAATCACCCTCTGTTTTTCCCATAAAATACAAAGATTATATAGGGAAATACGACTGGTCAGTTTTGACCCATTTAACGAATTTTCCCGGACATGGCGAGTTTTTTGTGACACCCCAAGGCGTTCTCCTACCACCTCACAAAATTTCAAGGGGGGTCGTCGGAGGAAATTTTTTTTCGTAATAGAGCTCATATAAAGAGAATTTCACTCGCGGTCACTTTTTAGCCCTCGTCGAGGGCTTTGAGTAAAACCGACAGATTTCCCTAAAGGTCAAGCCATTTACCTAAGAGCATGTAAAAAATTAGCCACATGTAAAGACGGTAAGTGCCCTCAAATCCGTTTTGAAATCACCCTCTGTTTTTCCCATAAAATACAAAGATTATATAGGGAAATACGACTGGTCAGTTTTGACCCATTTAACGAATTTTCCCGGACATGGCGAGTTTTTTGTGACACCCCAAGGCGTTCTCCTACCACCTCACAAAATTTCAAGGGGGGTCATCGGAGGAAATTTTTTTTCGTAATAGAGCTCATATAAAGAGAATTTCACTCGCGGTCACTTTTTAGCCCTCGTCGAGGGCTTTGAGTAAAACCGACAGTTTTCCCTAAAGGTCAAGCCATTTACCTAAGAGCATGCAAAAAATTAGCCACATGTAAAGACGGTAAGTGCCCTCAAATCCGTTTTGAAATCACCCTCTGTTTTTCCCATAAAATACAAAGATTATATAGGGAAATACGACTGGTCAGTTTTGACCCATTTAACGAATTTTCCCGGACATGGCGAGTTTTTTGTGACACCCCAAGGCGTTCTCCTACCACCTCACAAAATTTCAAGGGGGGTCGTCGGAGGAAATTTTTTTTCGTAATAGAGCTCATATAAAGAGAATTTCACTCGCGGTCACTTTTTAGCCCTCGTCGAGGGCTTTGAGTAAAACCGACAGTTTTCCCTAAAGGTCAAGCCATTTACCTAAGAGCATGCAAAAAATTAGCCACATGTAAAGACGGTAAGTGCCCTCAAATCCGTTTTGAAATCACCCTCTGTTTTCCCCATAAAATACAAAGATTATATAGGGAAATACGACTGGTCAGTTTTGACCCATTTAACGAATTTTCCCGGACATGGCGAGTTTTTTGTGACACCCCAAGGCGTTCTCCTACCACCTCACAAAATTTCAAGGGGGGTCGTCGGAGGAAATTTTTTTTCGTAATAGAGCTCATATAAAGAGAATTTCACTCGCGGTCACTTTTTAGCCCTCGTCGAGGGCTTTGAGTAAAACCGACAGTTTTCCCTAAAGGTCAAGCCATTTACCTAAGAGCATGCAAAAAATTAGCCACATGTAAAGACGGTAAGTGCCCTCAAATCCGTTTTGAAATCACCCTCTGTTTTCCCCATAAAATACAAAGATTATATAGGGAAATACGACTGGTCAGTTTTGACCCATTTAACGAATTTTCCCGGACATGGCGAGTTTTTTGTGACACCCCAAGGCGTTCTCCTACCACCTCACAAAATTTCAAGGGGGGTCGTCGGAGGAAATTTTTTTTCGTAATAGAGCTCATATAAAGAGAATTTCACTCGCGGTCACTTTTTAGCCCTCGTCGAGGGCTTTGAGTAAAACCGACAGTTTTCCCTAAAGGTCAAGCCATTTACCTAAGAGCATGCAAAACATTAGCCAGATGTAAAGACGGTAAGTGCCCTCAAATCCGTTTTGAAATCACCCTCTGTTTTTCCCATAAAATACAAAGATTATATAGGGAAATACGACTGGTCAGTTTTGACCCATTTAACGAATTTTCCCGGACATGGCGAGTTTTTAGTGACACCCCAAGGCGTTCTCCTACCACCTCACAAAATTTCAAGGGGGGTCGTCGGTGGAATTTTTTTTTCGTAATATAGCTCATATAAGGCGCCGGTCAGTCGAGGTCAGTTTTGACCCCCTCCCCGTGGACTTTTCGGCCAACCGTCACCGGCCCTCGTGTTCTATCGCCCCAAGGCACCATCGTGCCAAATTTGACGCGCCTGCGGCGCCGGGAAGTGCCCTATCGGGCGCCCGACCACTTTGCTTTATATATATAGACATCATTAATGCGACTGAATATGATGACGATTTAACTTTTGATATGTACTCAAATGATTTCAATGTTTAATGAAATAATTACCCAGTCTAATTGTTTTCCAGCAAATAAAAATAAAAACCTCTTTTCCGCATTGGTAACACTTTGAATATCATATGGGGATTGATTACTAAACTCGATTTGGTTTTTTAGAAATTTTGTGACAATGTGAGATGACGGGGGGGGGGGGGGGGGGGGGGGGTGTGTTCAGATAGTGTGACGTCACAGTTTTGCATTTAAAAAAAAAGTTATTTTACAAACTGAATTTTAACCGTTATTAGAAAACTGCTTTAATAAATTGTGATAGAAATCGATTAAGAAACTATATGTTAACCGAGTTCAGTCTTTATTTTAGAAAACATTTCAATGTTTGAAAATAAGACCACTACAGTTTTGATGGGGGTTCTATGGAGGGTAGGTCTGGCGTTTTTAGACGATGTATGAAGGAGGGGGCCGGGGGGGGGGGGGGAGGGAGAATCGTAAAATAATAATCATTAAAAAAGTTTTAAAAAACCCACGTTTTCTGATTGAACTAAAAAGTAGAAAATAAATGCTATACATCACAATAATGTAAAAGTTATATTACTATTGATTAGATAATACTATTGACTTTTATTAGGGAGCTTGTAGAGAGTCAACAGTATTAGAAACTGTAAGAAAATCACGGCGCCCCACGTTTTTGATCGCTTATAGTAGAGTGATCGCTTGCATTATTGTGATGTATAGCATTTATTTTCTACTTTTTAGTTCAATCAGAAAACGTGGGTTTTTAAAAACTTTTTTAATGATTATTATTTTCTACTTTTTAGTCTTTGTCTGTTTGTTTGCATTAAAATCTTGCTATCGATTTTATCTTTTCACTTTTTTTTTGGGTAAACGAAGACAACTCGTAAAAAGACAACTCGTAAAAAACACGTTGTGTGAATACGTTACTGACTAGAACACATAGATTTGAACCCATGTCGAGAGGGATAGCAATCGTGTGCCCAACCACTCGACCATATCGTCTCCCCCATACTGGCCACCAGTTGTTACGGTTGTTTGTACACAAATTACAGTTACTGGGTTATGTCCCTTTTTCCCCACGTTTTTACTACAACGAGCCGACCCGTGAAAGCAGCCTCCTCTTAGTTACCTCCTGTAAGTTTAAAGTCGGTTCAAACTAAATTATCTGCCCCTAATAGCCGTCACTAAACCTGGCTGTACGGTTTGTAAATATTAACGTGACCACAGCTCAGCAGACCATGTGGGGGTGAGGTAGGGTGGTAGTGATAGTGATAGAGAGAAAGAGAGGGGACTGTAAGGAGGCGCTTGCAGCTTGTTTTCTAATGGCTCGCAGAGGAGAATTATATATATATATAGATTATATAGCGGTCTAAAATGCTCAATAAAATGTTTCCATGGATCAATTTAGTAATAATAACAATTGAATATTCTAATGTCATCCAAAACAAAGCTTCCCTGAAAATTTCAGCGCGCTAGCTAACTGGGAAGTGCCAGAAATTTCGATCGCAAGATTTGATTGGAAAGACAAACAAACAGAGACGAAAGCAAGTTAAAGAAAACGTGGGAAAAAGACTGACGTTGATATAATACATGTTGTGGTTTTAGTTTGAGTGTAAGACTCACCTCTCCCCGCCAGTGGGTGGGGGTGGGGCTATGGGCAGTTCGTCTAAATCCTTGCTCTCACTTCTCTGGCTGGCGCCAATGCTGGCTGGAGAGGGCGGGGTTGGGTGCTGTAGGTTATAAATAGATCAGATAAATTAAATTAGGTGTTAATTAAGTGTAAATATGTGAGCGACATTAAAAGAAAGTCAAGTAGGCTACATATTTTAAAATAATTATAGAAATAATGTAAGGTTACAAATATACATACACACAGCCCTAAGGCTATCCAGATCTAAGGCATGGCTAACTCAAATTATGGGATAAATGTATCAGTGCCTAGTGTCTACTAAAAAAAAATTCTATTGCCGACGACAAATTAAAAACGTAAATGTTTTTTTTTTAAAAACTTTGTAAGACCTGTCTGAGGAATTGCTAAAACCTACAGGTCAGACATCAACTATTTGTGTTCATTAAATGTTGGGTACCAATTTTAACTGAGTGGGCTCAGTAACCTCCTATATCTAGATTCTGTCTAGACCAACATGAGTACAGTAAGCACTCGCTAATGGGAATATGTGCTTGCTTATTTTCATGGCACTACAACACGGTGTAAAAATAAAAATCAACACAGTGACGTCACTTTACTTACCTTTTCCGTCGGGTCACGTGTGTAGCGCGTGATTTGGTCGTGCGCGCGCTGTATGCTTTCCTCGTCGATCTTCGTCAGGCTGGGCGATGACGTCGATTGGTCGAGGGTCAGATTCTCCAGGCCAGAGCTCTGTGAAAATACAAGACATTCAGTTACAATTTACCCAGGCTTGTAGCATTCAGTCTAGCCCCGTAATGTAGCATATATATATATATATATATATATATATATATATATATATATATATATATATATATATATATATATATATATATATATATATATATATATATATATATATATATATATATATATATAAGGTTATGTACAATTTAATTTAAATCTAAAATTATACTTAACGTAATGCAACCCGTATGCTAAACAAAAATGTTCTTACACTTGTATGTAGATCCTGCCTTCGTCTTCTCTTGCAGACACAGATGATGATGACGATGATAACGACCACTACCACCAGCCCACCTACGACACCTCCCACCACTGGTCCCACGATGCTGGCCTTGTCTTCAGCTGGAGTAGGGCGACATGTGTTGTTGACCAACAGGGAACCAGCAACACACTCCGTGCAGTTTCTAACTCTATTTACTAACTCACAATGCTTGCAGTTTTCTATATTGCAATGCTTGCAATACACTTTTGGTATCGTTGTTGTTATTGTCGCTGCTGTTGTCTCATTGGATGCAGATGTTGTCTCATTGGTAAAAACTGTGGTTGTTTCGTTTGTTGCTTAAAATAAAATAAAAAACCATTATTCATAAATAGTCTACATAATCTTTATTCAAAATCAGAGATGTAGTAATCTACAATACCTAATTTACTAACGTCGCATATCATAAAAAGCTACCTATTATATATTTAACGAAAATCATTTATTTTCTACTTTTTAGTGCATTATTAAATTAAAGCATGTAATTAAACGTTTTTTATGAATTTATTTTTCAGTACTTTAAATTTTTAAAAATTTAAATAGAGTTGCATGACTAAAAACCATTGCGCATCTGATGAACATGATAACGCGCGTATAATAGTGCGGAATAGTTGGATTAAGATTAATATATTAATTGATATAAAATAATTAGGCATTCAATTAAGTCAAATTTAATGTCAGATTGCATTGTCTTAATGTCTTGACCCACGTTCCAACTTCGAACCATATCTGTCAGTTAGAAGTGCCCAAAATTACGCTCGGGCATTTCGATCTAGACAGACAGGCAGGACGAGGAAGCAAGTTAAATAAAAGCTTGTGTTAAAAGCTTGTACCAATATAAATGAATTAATGGCTCAGGACGAAATGGGTATAAAACTTACTATCTTGCTTGACCAGACACTCACTGTGTCCAGTTAACAGAAAATAACCATCCGGACAGTTAGCCAGACACTTAAAATAACACGCTTGTGGGTTATTGCATACATTTTCACACCGTAAGCAATTCTGTAATTTGAAAAACAAAATAGTTACACAATTAAATCACACGGTTATTAGAATTAACTCCAATTATATTAGACCATGACAAATATCAAATTCCTCAGTCATAAGTATCATCGTAAAAAATTAGTAAAAACGTTTTATAAAAGCTCTTTTATATAATAGCTATCCGTCGGTACTCGTTACACGTGATTATACACGCCAATATTTTTAATCTTATACTTGTTTGAGAAAAATATTTTATAAAATAGTTACTGGTCAGGACGCATTCTGCGTTACTACACGTTGAACGATATTAGTGACACAGCAAACAAATAACTAATATGAATCGAAACATTATCAACTTCAATAGCGGGACACACTATATTGAACTAAAATCAAACAAATAACAGGAAGACCCCACCAGACAGATCCCATTATAAAGACCCCACCAGACAGATCCCATTAAACAGATCCCATTATACAGACCCACCAAATAGATCCCATTATACAGATCCCATTATACAGACCCCCACCAAACAGATCCCATTAAACATATCCCATTAAACAGATACCATTATACAGACCCCACCAAACAGATCCCATTATACAGATCACATTATACAGACCCCCACCAAACAGATCCCATTAAACAGATCCCATTAAACAGATACCATTATACAGACCCCACCAGACAGACCCCCACAAAACAGACCCCACCAGACCCCATAAAGACTGACCCCACAAGACTGACCCCACAAGACTGACCCCACCAGACAGACCCCACCAGACAGACCCCACCAGACCCCATAAAGACTGACCCCACAAGACTGACCCCACAAGACTGACCCCACCAGACCCCATAAAGACTGACCCCACAAAACAGACCCCACCAGACAGACCCCACCAGACCCGATAAAGACTGACCCCACAAGACTGACCCCACAAGACTGACCCCACCAGACCCCATAAAGACTGACCCCACAAAACAGACCCCACAAGACAGACCCCACAAGACAGACCCCACCAGACTGACCCCACAAGACAGACCCCACCAGACAGACCCCACCAGACAGACCCCACCAGACAGACACCACCAGACAGACCCCACCACACTGACCCCACCACACAGACCCCACAAGACAGACCCCACCACACTGACCCCACCACACAGACCCCACCAGACAGACCCTACCAGACAGACCCCACCACACTGACCCCACCACACTGACCCCACCAGACTGACCCCACCAGACTGACCCCACAAGACAGACCCCACCACACTGACCCCACCAGACTGACCCCACAAGACTGACCCCACAAGACTGACCCCACAAGACAGACCCCACAAGACAGACCCCACAAGACTGACCCCACAAAACAGACCCCACCACACTGACCCCACAAGACTGACCCCACAAGACAGACCCCACCACACAGACCCCACCACACAGACCCCACCACACAGACCCCACCACACTGACCCCACCAGACAGACCCCACCACACAGACCCCACCACACTGACCCCACCAGACTGACCCCACAAGACTGACCCCACAAGATAGACCCCACAAGACAGACCCCACAAGACTGACCCCACAAGACAGACCCCACCACACTGACCCCACCACACAGACCCCACCAGACAGACCCCACCAGACAGACCCCACCACACAGACCCCACCACACTGACCCCACAAGACTGACCCCACCAGACTGACCCCACAAGACTGACCCCACCAGACTGACCCCACAAGACAGACCCCACCACACTGACCCCACCAGACAGACCCCACCACACAGACCCCACCACACAGACCCCACCACACAGACCCCACCACACTGACCCCACAAGACAGACCCCACCACACTGAACCCACCAGACAGACCCCACCAGACAGACCCCACCACACTGACCCCACAAGACAGACCCCACCACACTGAACCCACCAGACAGACCCCACCAGACAGACCCCACCACACTGACCCCACCACACAGACCCCACCACACTGACCCCACCACACAGACCCCACAAGACAGACCCCACAAGACAGACCCCACCACACTGACCCCACCACACAGACCCCACCACACTGACCCCACCACACAGACCCCACCACACAGACCCCACCACACAGACCCCACCACACAGACCCCACCACACAGACCGCACCACACAGACCCCACCACACAGACCCCACCACACAGACCCCACCACACAGAGCCCACCACACAGACCCCACCACACTGACCCCACCAGACTGACCCCACCAGACTGACCCCACCAGACTGACCCCACCAGACTGACCCCACCACACAGACCCCACCAGACTGACCCCACAAGACAGACCCCAATAAACAGACCCCACAAGACAGACCCCACCAGACTGACCCCACCACACTGACCCCACCAGACCCCACATATACCACCATGAAGCAGACGCCTGTGTTCCCGGATCTACCCTAGAAAAAGACCTCCATCACTTCTGATCTTGTCAAAAACTTGTCGAACCAGTTTCACCAAAAGTGCTAACAGGGGCAGATAATTCCGTCAAGGTAGGTAACTCGGCAGGCAGGAAGTGAAATGATGGGGTGAGGAAACACGCCACATCACGTACCAAACACAAGGGATGGTGAAGTGTTGTATGCACTTGGATCTCATACAGGACAAGGAAGATAAAAGTAACAAGAGTTGCGTTCCTTGTACGTCTTTACCGTTTGTTTTATTAAAAGAAATGGACACGACGTATGGAGATAATGAATATCTTCTTTTTAATAGACGAGCCGGCCCGCGGCATAACATACGCCGCTATTTAGTTGTTGTTTTTTCTACTTTTCAGTAATTCATAATTTGTGAATTCGACAGTACCAACGCTGACACTGAAAATATTTCTTTAAAACACTATAAGTAGCTCGTTAAGGACCATAACCCCCCCCCCTTCCTCCCCCCCCCCCCACGTTTAAAATCGCTTCAAACTAAATTATCTGCCCCTAATAGCCGTCACTAAACCCAACTCCACGAAGGTAAACATAGCGTGAACCACAGCTCACTAAGATCATGTATGGGTGGGGATGTTAGGGAGCGCGCTTGCAGCTTGTTTTCTAACGGCTCGAAGAAGAGAATTATATATATAGATTCGTATTGATAGAAAGTACGTTGCGTTTTAAATAAATAGAAAATACGTTAAGTTTTATTAAATAGTTTTATATTGGTCTTGATCTAAAATACGGATCTTTTTAGTATATTAATACAAAATACATCATTTGAAATAGATTTATATTGACAAAAATACATTAAACGTTTTTAGTTGAAATCTATGAATAAACTTTAAGACAGGCGTTCAAGAATCACATCACGTATTAGTATTGACTGCATGTGTGAGATTCATCCCTTTGAACCTTGTAGGTTTAGAGTGATGGTATATAGGTACAGTGTTAAAATCCTGTTTGCGAATGCTGGGTCTAAATTTAGCATTGCGTTTGCTTTTTAACGGTTTTTAAAACGGTTAAATAAATATTTTATAAGGTAAACTTCCCCATTCAGAATGAGCGAACCATAAGGAAGATGAAGTAGAGTTCGGTTCGCAAGAATGACTGGTTTTTTCAGCATTATTTCCTGCCGCCTTTACTTTCCCTAACTTGAGTTAGGTACCAATTAGAGGTGGATAGACTCAGGGACGGCCTGTAGATCTAAACTCGAGACCTTCGGACTCGCAGTTGAGCGATCTACTTCACTATCACGCCATTCCATGCATACATTTTATAATTCTTTTGAAATTATCCTCATTCGAAGATTTTCTACAGTATTTTGGAATTAATTACCTAAATATGTTTTGTTTTTAGTAAAAATAACTACACGAATCCAACGAGTGTGGGTTTGCCTTTACAGTTTAAAAGTTTGCTCATACAAAACATACATGATAAGTTAGTGGTCGAACTGTACGGACAAGATACATCATTGGATGAGATGTATGGACAAGATACATCATTGGATGAGATGTTGGGACAAGATACATCATTGGATGAGATGTTCGGACAAGATACATCATTGGATGAGATGTATGGACAAGATACATCATTGGATGAGATGTTTGGACAAGATACATCATTGGATGAGATGTATGGACAAGATACATCATTGGATGAGATGTTTGGACAAGATACATCATTGGATGAGATGTTGGGACAAGATACATCATTGGATGAGATGTTCGGACAAGATACATCATTGGATGAGATGTATGGACAAGATACATCATTGGATGAGATGTTTGGACAAGATACATCATTGGATGAGATGTATGGACAAGATACATCATTGGATGAGATGTTTGGACAAGATACATCATTGGATGAGATGTTGGGACAAGATACATCATTGGATGAGATGTATGGACAAGATACATCATTGGATGAGATGTTTGGACAAGATACATCATTGGATGAGATGTTCGGACAAGATACATCATTGGATGAGATGTATGGACAAGATACATCATTGGATGAGATGTTCGGACAAGATACATCATTGGATGAGATGTTCGGACAAGATACATCATTGGATGAGATGTTTGGACAAGATACATCATTGGATGAGATGTTGGGACAAGATACATCATTGGATGAGGTTTTAGACAAGATACATCATTGGGTGAGTTTTTTGGACAAGATACATCATTGGATGAGGTGTTTGGACAAGATACATCATTGGATGAGTTTTTTGGACAAGATACATCATTGGATGAGTTTTTAGACAAGATACATAATTGGGTGAGTTTTTTGGACAAGATACATCATTGGATGAGTTTTTTGGACAAGATACATCATTGGATGAGTTTTTAGACAAGATACATAATTGGGTGAGTTTTTTGGACAAGATAAATAATTGGATGAGTTTTTTGGACAAGATACATCATTGGATGAGTTTTTAGACAAGATACATCATTGGATGAGTTTTTTGGACAAGATACATCATTGGATGAGTTTTTTGGACAAGATACATCATTGGATGAGTTTTTTGGACAAGATACATCATTTGATGAGGTTTTTGGACAAGATACATCATTGGATGAGGTGTTTGGACAAGATACATCATTGGATGAGATGTTCGGACAAGATACATCATTGGATGAGATGTTTGGACAAGATACATCATTGGATGAGATGTATGGACAAGATACATCATTGGATGAGATGTTCGGAGAAGATACATCATTGGATGAGATGTATGGACAAGATGCATCATTGGATGAGATGTATGGACAAGATACATCATTGGATGAGATGTATGGACAAGATACATCATTGGATGAGATGTTCGGAGAAGATACATCATTGGATGAGATGTATGGACAAGATGCATCATTGGATGAGATGTATGGACAAGATACATCATTGGATGAGATGTATGGACAAGATACATCATTGGATGAGATGTTCGGACAAGATACATCATTGGATGAGTTTTTTGGACTAGATACATCATTGGACGAGCTGTTCGGACAAGATACATCATTGGATGAGCTATAGAGACATTCTCGTAGAAAGAGATAAGACTGCATGGTACCAAATGTCTTGCAAGAACTAAACAATAACAGGGAAATAACTCTTACCTCTGGTATATACATGGGGGTAGTTGATGTGATGGCAGTGGTTCTGGTAGTGGTGGATATGACGGATGTGGGTGTGGTTGTGGGTGTGGTAGGAGATGTCGTTATTAAGGTAGTCGTGGGCGTCTCCTGCCCGTTTGTGTCGCAGCTCAGCAGAAGTAAGACCAAGGGGACCAGAAACCGTTTTAGTTCAGGCATTGCCGCCATCTTGGTGGTGATATATTCCAAGTAAGGACGGGTGGAGGGAGGTGGGGTTGAAGTTCGTCACGCTCCAGTGAAGCTGCTGACAAGGTTTCTCTGTTCGTGACGTTTCTGTAATATATTCATATTTATATTTAAAAAAAAAGCATTCGGGAAAATTAAAATTTTAAGCTAGAAAATTATTAGTTTATCACAACAAGCGTATTCCATCTTCGTTCTTAATTGTAATGTTGTAGGGGTGGGGAGGGAGGAGGTAGGAATTGCTACACGAAAGTGTTACGTGTCAGCATGTCATATGCAGGATTTTAGCCTGCTTTTCTTTCTCGGTTTGCTTCCACAGCCTATCTCCATCAAAGAGCAAACTAAAAAGCAAAAGTTATTTGATTTTGGAGTTGTCTCTCCTAGATGGGTTGCTGTCCCCAGATATTGATTTTCATCCAAGTGTGGGTTTGAATTTGGGACTTTCGGAGTTATCAACCATGAGTTATCACACTCAATTAAGAAGTACCAAAGGCGCATTTCATTTCACAAGATTTTTCATGGGTCTGTTTATTGGTGGTACAATTACTAAAGTTTCACACTCTATTAAGAGATAAATTTATTAGCACTTTCGAATATCCAATTATTTTCGCTGACAACGCACGATATAGTTTCTTTTAATCGAATGTAATAATAAATTCGTCGTTGAAATTTATTGGGCTTTGTCCGTTCCATGACTTTCTTTAATAAATTTTAAGAAACAAAACGCTTTTTACCTTTGTATCTTCAATGTTTGTCTTAAGATTTATTTACACGTTTAAAATATGGTTTTTATACATTTTATACTTGTTATGTCTACATAGTGCTTGAGAATATGGCTTTAAAAAAAGAATTTTATACAACTTTTTATATTGGAATTCAGGAACTTAACACATAATACATTTTAAAAATGTTCATTAGTATGAATAATTTGTGCTTGAAACTGTTGAAATATTCTAGGGTCTATCAAACAGAATTTTATTTTTGTCGGTTGCGTTTAGTTTTAGTTTTTAACTCTAAAAACTATGCAATCCTATGTTAAAGTGAAAATGTTTGATGCAGTTGAATCTCTTGAGTGGTCAAGTGGTTTGGCAACATTTAACTAGATCAAGTGTGTGTAGGAACTACACAGGAGTGAGTTGTTTGTGTTAGGTTTCATGTGTGTGGGGGTTTGTGTGGAAGTTTTGGTTGCGGTTTGTGTGGAGGTTTGTGTAGAGGTTTGTATGGGAGTTTGTATGGAGGTTTGAGTGTAGGTTTATGTGGAGGTGTGTGTGTAGGTTTATGTGGAGGTTTGTGTGGAAGTTTATAGAGGTTTATTGGGAGGTTTGTGTGGGGTTTTGTATGGAGGTTTGTGTGGGGGTTTGTGTGGAAGTTTGTGTGGAGGTTTGTGTGGAGATTTGTGTGGAGGTTTGTTTGGAAATTTGTATGGGGGTTTGTATGGAGTTTGTGTGTAGGTTTATGTGGAGGTTTGTGTGGAGGTTTGTGTGGAGGTTTGTGTGGGGGTTTGTGTGGGGGTTTGTGTTCAGGTTTGTGTTGAGGTTTGTGTTTAGGCTAGTATGGTGGTTTGTGTGGAGGTTTGTGTGGAGGTTTGTGTAGAGGTTTGTGTGGGGGTTTGTGTGGAGGTTTGTGTGGAGGTTTGGTTGGAGGTTTGTGTGGGGGTTTGTGTGGAGGTTTGTGTGGGGGTTTGTGTGGAGGTTTGTGTGGGGGTTTGTGTGGAGGTTTGTGTGGAGGTTTGTGTGGGGGTTGTAGAGGTTTGTGTGGAGGTTTGTGTGGAGGTTTGTGTGGAGGTTTGTGTGGAGGTTTGTGTGGGGGTTTGTGTGGAGGTTTGTGTGGGGGTTTGTGTGGAGGTTTGTGTGGGGGTTTGTTTGGAAATTTGTATGGGGGTTTGTATGGAGTTTGTGTGTAGGTTTATTTGGAGGTTTGTGTGTAGGTTTGTATGGAGGCTTATGTGGAGGTTTGTGTAGCGGTTTGTGTGTAGGTTTGTATGGAGGTTTATGTGGAGGTTTGTGTGGTGGTTTGTATGGAGGTTTGTGTGGGGGTTTGTGTTGAGGTTTGTGTTGAGGTTTGTGTTTAGGTTAGTATGGTGCGTCAACGTGCAAGTTTTACCGGATCCATCAATGATAAAAAAAGCTTACATGTTTTATTGTGAGTAAAGATAAAATATTTTTTATGTGGAACTACAATGCTGATTAAGCGTACACAGTGGTAAGAATATGCAATCATACGTTTTGTAACAAAATCTGTGCTCTGGTATTCGTCTGATAATTTCATTGAACTTCCTGGATCGTCCGCGATTAGGCGATAAATATAATTGTTATGCAAGATTTATTGGAAGATATTAGTCTAACGGTTTAACGGAGAGACAGAAAGTTTTTAGCCCGAGGCAGATTTCCTGATTACGCCCCACAAAGAGGTAGATATTAAAAAAATAGTTGTGTGTGCGTGTGTGTGTGTGGGTGGGGGGGGGGTGTTTATGTAGAAAATATAAAAATTTAAACCCGGAAGGTAGGGTGTATGAACCAGCACTGTGACCTTTGTTACGCATGATAAACGTCATCTGACCTTGTAGATTAGACACCATTAGTCTTGGGTTATTTAAACAACACATTCAGAAAATTAGGAATTTAAAGCTAGAAAATTATTAGTTTAACAAAACAGTTTAAACATAATGACATCACAAGAAATTTAAACATTACATGACAAGAGTATTAAACACCACATGCCCGGAGGGTTGAACACTATTTGACGAGAATATTAAACACCAAAATGACCCTAAAGGTTAAACACCACAAATCCCTTAGGATTAAACACCAACTGACTCGGAAGAGTAAACACATTACACGCCACTGAAAGATGATCGTTGTTATGACATTTTAGATTGCTCGATATGTCATATGGGTGATGAACGACTTTTAAGGTTTTGTTTTAGTTCTACGTGAAGCTCTTGTTTGCATTATTTCCTGTAATAAAACTTCAGTTTACATAGCGGTTGCTTCGTGACATTAAGCTACAGCTTACATACAGGTATTTACTATTTTAAAGCTATAGCTAACAGACAAGCTTCTTCTTGTTATAAAGCTATAGCTTACATACAGGTTTCTTCCTGTTACAAAGCTATAGCTTAATGACAAGTTTCTTCCTGTTATAAAGCTATAGCTTACAGACAAGTTTCTTCCTGTTATAAAGCTATAGCTTACAGACAAGTTTCTTCCTGTTATAAAGCTATAGCTTACATACAGGTTTCTTACTGTTATAAAGCTATAGCTTACAGACATGTTTCTTCATGTTATAAAGCTATAGCTTAATGACAAGTTTCTTACTGTTATAAAGCTACATCTTACAGACAAGTTTCTTTCTGTTATAAAGCTATAGCTTACATACAAGTTTCTTCCTGTTATAAAGCTATAAATACAGACATGGTTCTTCCTGTTATAAACAGACATGTTTCTTATTGTTATAAAGCAACAGCTTACAGATACCTAGTTGCGTCATTTCTGATTGTAGAGGGAAAGATGTCTCGGGTTTTAAGATTATTGACATTTCTTTTGATCTTTTCGTCTTTAAAACCGAACATTTGATATTTTTAAAATCTTTTGAATAGATCTTCAGTAGATTCTTTAGTAGCTAATCTCGTAATTCTAGATTTGTGTGGTGAAGGTGGTTAATTACTGCTGAATGAAGGGAAATGTTGAATGTTAATGAATGTAGTGGGATAGTGTTGAATGTTTCTGAATGTAGTGGGATAGAGTTTAATGATTTTGAATGTAGTATGTATTTTCACTTAAATAAATATAATAAGATATTCTACTGAAACGAATTGGATTAAAAAAAAATTCTTTGAAGATATCCGATGCATTTTTCATAAGAGATCTCTAAAAAAGTGATTTAATATGCAAATAATGTGAGATTTTTATATAATTAAAAAACCTTGGCAGCATTTAAGCAGCAATTAGAAGCCAAATATTTTTAAATAATAAAATAAAAACACCATAATATATGTTACCGTAAATAATTTGTCTAGTCTATGCTATCAACGTTCATGGTTTAATTTTGGGTGAAGTTGATTTGAAGTATGATTCATTAATATATATATATATATATATATATATATATATATATATATATATATATATATATATATATATATATATATATATATATATATATATATTTTTTTCGGGGGAGGGGGCGGGGAAATGGATGTTGTTGAAGGGTGAGGATGGGGGTGGAGGTTGTAAAGCCTCCCCACCATTTCTTGTAAAGATGTCTGAAAAAACAACAGCAGCATTGACGGGGTCTGTTGAAGTTAAATGTGACCAAGTGATCACACAACAAAATGTGTTAGTTCCTTCCTGCTTGACTGCAGGCTACATCGCTCATTGCGCAAAGTGAAAATTACTCGAACGCTCTTTAGATTCATTTTTATTTTTTTAAATAGCTTTTTTTTACAATACATTGACGTGAATTAGTAAAGCTTTTTTTTCGCAGTGGGGGTTTGTGGAGTGGGTGAGGAGGGGGGGGGGGGTCACAACAATGTTGATGTGTTACATGTTTCGATAGAATATTTTATATTTCCAAACTTTGTTCCGTTTCTGGGAATGGGGTTTTCCCCGATTTAGTGTAAGCCGAACTTTGAGCAATGGATCAATATTTCACGGTCGGCCTACACACGGATTCAAACGGTACCTGTGTATGAGACAAACAAAGTTACGATTGTACATATTGTGTCATGGTTACTTTGTTTATCCACTCTCGCTTGTATTCCCTCGTTTGTTACATATCCCTCTCTCTCTCTTCCTCTTCCTCTCAACTTTTACCTCTATTCGTTATTTGCTTGTTTGCCAATTGCTCCGCTCTCAATACATTACCTCCCCTTCCCCAACATTATATTCCTTCTCTCAACATTACCTCCCCTCTTCAAACATTCGATCGACTCCCCAGCATTACCTACCCTTCCCCATATTACCTACCAACACAATATTACTTCTCTTTCCTAACACCACCTTTCATCTCCCAGCTTTACCTCCCCTCTTCCACCATTACCCCCCCCCTCCTTAACTACCTCCCCTCCCCTACATTACCTCCCCTCCCCCAACATTACCCCCTTCCTTAACTACCTTCTCTTCTCCAACATTATCTCCCCTTCCACAAATTACCTCCTCCCAACCACACTATCATAACAATACATTTTATTCTCTAATTAACAAAATTAATTTAATTAATTTACCACGTAACTGTCCTAACCATCGAGCTCCAATCTACGAACTCTCCACACCAATCACTAATAACCACTCGCCATCTCCACCACATAATACCAACTCAATGTTTTCTGATTCATTGTTTATTTCTAAGTGTTGGAATAGTAATCCCTTTTTTCTCCAATCCCCACCCCTTCGCTTAAGTGAAGGATTAGGCTAATGAGTTAATGTCATTCAGTTAAATTTAAGCTTCAGGTTAAAGCTAAGAGATAGAATCTATAGTTACTCATTTAGATCAAGGGTTAAGGGAATGACAAAAGATGGTTAGATTCTAGGACTTTTTTCAATGATTTTTTTTCCTGAATCTCAATAAATATAATTGTCGTTATATAACAGAGTAACACTGTCAGATTCTATTGGCGTGGACCATTGAGTGCACCGAACTAACATTTAATATCGGCAGTGATAGCAGTTACGTCTCTAGAACTGGTTGTATTTTTAAAAACTTTTTTTCTGAGTTACAGTAAATAAAACTATGGTTCTATATCAAAGTAAAGGTTCTACAACAGAGGACCAATGTAAACATCAAAAAAATTTGTATTAGAAGAAAATGGACTTACCTTGGTAAGGTCTAGGCTTAGGATCCAAACCAAATACCAGTTACGGTAGAATACAACGATGTACGTATCAATCTTGATTGTGTTAGAAATACGAACACAAAATATCTGTATGTACTAGATCTAGTCCCGGTACAGAAAAAATATATATGTACAAGTTCAGTATCGTGTACTGTATAGGTATAGACACAATTTGTATACGTATGTGTTACTCAAGTTAAAATATGTGAAAAAGTTATGTGTATGTAGATCTGCAAGTCCAGTATCAGTGCTAGAAATATACATACAGTATGTATATGTACACGTCCAGTATCGGGTTGCATATAGAGAAATTTACACAACATATATATGCATGTGTTAGTCCGGGTTAGAAATATTGGCGAAATATATTGGAACGTACTACTCCAGATTGAAATATGTGAAAAATCTATGTGTATGAATAACAGCTAGTCCAATATCAGAATCAAGAACACACTACACGAGAGTAACACGATGACCGCCTCTATGTCTCTAGTCTCACGTATGTGGTAACGTAGCTAAGACAGGTACACACGTCTATTCTAGGCCAGTGTTGTTATCCCATAGATCCGGACAGCTACATTACCTACAGCACATAATAGGCCGAATGGTAGCCGTCTTTATCTCCCCTTAGCTTACGTACAGTTACAGCGTTTTGAAACAGTTTGAATTCACTTCCTTCTTAGCGGGTGAGAGGGTGGGTGTGGGGTGGGAGGTGTTTGTAAGGATAAGAGGTGTGTTTTTGTTTGCAGACTTAGGTCCAAAAGTATAGGCAAAAGTTTTTCGGGTTTGTTTTTATCTTACCGGTGTAGATCTAGATAAACGAGATCAAATATTTAAATTGTGATAAACATTTCGTTTTCTTCCTTCTAAACCTAATAGAATTGTGAAGAATCGTTGGATAAGTCATGTAGTGGCTGGGTATAGGGCAGGCTTGGTGGTGTAGTCAGCAAGCTGAATGGGAAAGGTATATGATGATAAGGAGAGTTATATATTGTGGCAAATACACTATATATAAATATACACTCACATATATATATATATGTGCATATATAAATATAGTTATATACTCATATATCTGGTTACATACTCATATATATGTATACATACATATATATATATACACATAAACGAAGATATATATATATATATATATATATATATATATATATATATATATATATATATATATATATATATATATATATATATATATTTATATTATGTGTGTGTATGTGTGCATAAGGAGAGAGATGGCTGTATTTACAAACCATCAAAATGCAATAGTTGTATTTACACAACGAGCGTATAAGCCCATATGCCATATAGTTTGACGTATAATTAACTCTGGCATGTTTGAGTTGAGCTTTAGGACTACCAGCTTCTGTGTGTGTACATCAAAAAAATTGGTCAGGTCGACTCTCCAGCTAAACAGGATGTTGAAGGGAGACAGCACGGTATAGCGCTGGTAGAGGGAAGTGTAAACTACAGGCGGTGAAAAAAACAAATTCAGTAGGCGGCTCATTTTGTAACAACGGTAATTAATTTCCCACGCGGGAGTTTTGACTAATGAAAATTAAGCTGTGGTTTAATTTGAGATATGTTGAGTTAAGCGATAACAAGTTACGGATTTGATGGTTCGGGGATGGGGATGGGGTGGGAAGGGGGGAAGGATCTAGGTTTAGTAGGCACAGACAATAATGTAGTTCTATACATCAAGTATGTCTTCTTTTTTACTTTCTCTTATATATGAAGCAGAGAGAAAGTCTTATAATCGTGCAAAAAAAATATCGAGATTTTTGCAAACCTCGACGTTTTACAACCCCCTGAGTCGGAAAAAAAACATAGTTTTGCAATCTTGTCCGTATGTCTCTGTGTGTGTATGTGTGTGCGTGTGTGTGTATGTGTGTAAACACGATAACTTGAGTACCGTTACAGCTAGGTTGATCAAATTTCATATATAAGTATAATATCAAAATCATAGATCCGTTTCAACTTTTGTGCGATTTCCGATAAACGGAAGTGGAACTTTTTCTACTTTGAATTTTTCAAAAGCATATAACTTGAGTACTATTTCAGATAGATAAATGAAATTTCAAATGTAAGTAAAAATTCTAATTAACTGCCTTCAATAAAATTTTGAAAAATTTCTGTCGACCGGTAGTAGTAATTGTCGCTTTTTTGGAATTCTCAAAAAACCCACGTCAATTTATAAAGTACTAATACTATTCCGCACTATTATGCACATTTTATTTGGCGTTCACTTGGTGTGCAATTCTTTTTTCTACGTGATTTTATTCTATTTTAAAAAGGTTAAGTATTTAAAATTGATTAAAAATCATGTCTATATCCCGAGTAGCCATCCGCTGTTGATTCATATATTCAAAAAAGTTTAGGGGAGATACTCCCGGTTTATTTTAGCTAACAAAAAGTTTATTGTATATATACATATATAAAAATATATAAATAAATAAATAAATAAATATATATATATATATATATATATATATATATATATATATATATATATATCATATGTAAATACATGTATAAATATAAATCTATCTTTCTCTCTCTCTCTGTCTCTGTCTCTCTCTCTCTCTCTATATATATATATGCCTATATATGCCTCTCTCTCTCTCTCTTTATATATATATATATATATATATATATATATATATATATATATATATATATTTATATATATATATATATATATATATATATATATATATATATATATATATATATACTGGCGTGCCCATTCAGGCGCGTTGCCGCGGGTTAAAAAAAAGTCCGAGGCAAATCGCACTCTCATTAAAACGAAGAACGTATGCGCCATAGCGCTCACGAAATAACCCGAGGCACCAATTTGCACCTTGCGGGGCGCAGCCTTTGCAACATTACATATTATTCTTCACAGAATTCTCCCCTTGAGTATTCTCAACAAACAACCAAGTTTCATGGCTATCAGATGAAAGGTGTTGCAATGCATAAAAGACAAATACATTCTGACGAAAAATATTAGGAGGGTTTCATCAATGCTTTACGAATCCTATATTCTTAGACGCGTGACCTTGTTTTCTAAAACTGAGTTATGTCAATGAACACAATGCCTGCGCTTGGATCATATATATCGGGACACGGGTTTAGTTGCAATACCGCCGAGAAAAAGCCACCCCTGCAATTTAAAATTTAATTTTTCGTTTGAAGCTCCCCAGGAGTATTCTCAACAAATTCCTAAAGTTTCATGGCGATCGAATGAAAGGGTTAGTAATGCATAAAAGACAAGCAGACAGACAGACACAAATTTATATGTATATATATATATATATATATATATATATATATATATATATATATATATATATATATATATATATATATATACACATATATATTGTTTTATGTATTGACAACAAAGTATTTTTCCACTAACCATTTGATCTAGTGAATGAAAACAACCTTGATGAAGTGAGTAACTGCCTGCGCCATTTTTTTGTTTTGTTTACTAAGGCCCTAGATCTAGTTTCAACACGAACTACGACGCTAAAAATAGCAACAAGTACCTAAGCAATGCCAGCCATGGACTGATCTAACTTATATACCGGGCATGGAGTCGACGGAAAAAATATAAATTACACACTACGGCTGAAATCAATAAAACACTTGAGATATCTTTACCTGTTGAAAACTGAATTTAACTACTTAAAAATCATATTTATAGCTGTAAAACCCCGAACTTCACTGGGGCCTATTTTATAATAAGCCGTGTGTTCCGTGGCACCTCATTGAATGGAGCTAATGCGTTTCGTGCTCTGAATAGCTCGTTGTTCAATGGTGAAATCGACAATTGAGGGGGATCTTTCAAATGAATTGGTGTTAAAAACCTTAAGTTATTTTTATGAATTAACGCTTTAAGTGCATTTATTATGAAAAGAAAATCAGCTTTGTGTAAAAACCTGGTAGTTATTGTATGATTGGCATACGCTTCAATGTACTAGCAGTTTTGTAAAAGATAGTTGAGTGCTGATCGATGTATTAATGCAGATATTAAATAAAAACTAGTAGTACTTGTTCATTAATTGGATTTGTTTTTCAGTTAAGACAAAAATAAATGTTTAGTAAACATTTAGATTTGTGTGTTGAATGGAAATAAAACTTTGGACGTGACGGTCAGATGAAGCAGAGTTCGCCTGATTTCTGTGACATCGTGATGTGACGTGTGACTTGTTTAAGTTGTGCTCAGCAGCCTTTTTATTTTCGTCTCGTGCCAGGTACTCGTCACGGCTGGGTTGGCTCACTTTTTCTTCTTTGTTCTTATTTCTGGTGTTGTTGGAGGTGACTAACTCCAAATTAATTAAGTATTACGTGTAAACATGTTACACGCCAAATTATAAAACTGTTCAGATGAGCTTTTAGAGCACAGAGGAGCGTAAAAGCTGCTAATGTTCATCATACATGACAAAATGTAGGCTACACCTTGAGAACTAGCATCGATAAAAGGGCCCTGTATAAAAAGACTGCCAAAAAAAATCGAAGTACTAAACGACAACAGGAAACTTGACAAGCAGAAAAGCAAATAAAAAGGTTATATACACACACACACACACACACACACACATATATATATATATATATATATATATATATATATATATATATATATATATATATATATATATATATGTATATACATATATATTTATATATATATATATACATATATATATGTATGCTTATATATATATATATATATATATATATATATATATATATATATATATATATATATATATATATATATATATATATATATATATATATATATAGATATATATAAATATCTTTGGATACATATAAAAGCCTATATATATATATACATACATATAAAGGCCTATATATATATTTATATGTATGTATATAAACATATATAAAAATATATATATATACATTTGTATACATATAAAGGCCTATATATATATACATATATATATATATACATATATATATATATATGTATAAATATAATATATATACTTATATTTATATACAAGAAATCGATCATGCATGACCCCCTTCTCTTCTCTTCCTCAGTCATGTCCCGTCCTTGAACCTCAAGACAAAAGCCAACAAAAAATTTCCACGGTTGATTTATTTTGTTTACGTAACCTGCACGTCAACCCTAAATCCCGAGTTCCACACGACTGCCCTCCAACCGTATGTTGACCCCCATGGCCACCCAAGCGTGAATGTTAAATTAAAAAAACGGGGAATCCCCGAATCTTATTTCGTCATGTCCTATAATATAAAAGCCTACTGAGAAAATGATATCTGTGTGAGATTTTTAAATTTTTGTATTCGGTAGCCGAGCTTAGAAAAACGATCACGATATGTTGTATCAATGGAGGATTGAGTGTGATTTGTATTCGGGGTGCACCTATCACAATGTATCGTGTCACCTATTCAAACAAATAATCCAATCACAACCAAAACTTCGCCATAACTATGAGGTGCCGTTTAAAAATAAATCGTCGGTTTAGTGTTATATTACTTCTTCCTACGTTTTGTCACAAGTCAGAGAATATAACTTCAAGCTGCTCCGCTAGGTCCCGATTAGCTTTTTGAAACAAGGATTGCCGTCTACAATCGAAATGAGGAGTTTAAATGTTAAGTATGTTGAGCAAGTTTTATCAACATTTACAAAATAGAGTTTTAGAAATGATAAAAAACAGCGAAAATAGAGTTAAAGATGACTCTTCATAATGCAAAATTGTGGTGTCACGCTTTCTGATTCCCTCACCTTTCACCGATAGTCACTGAATTTGAAAAAGGCATTTGGACCTTGAATATGGGCGATTACTAAACGTGTGGCGTCATGTAATTGTCTATTGATGAATGAGAAAGTAACCTTAACACAAACCTTGCTGTAACCTAGAGCTTAATCAGATCACTAACTTTTAAACCAGGTGAACACCTACACGTATTTGCGTATTGTCCGTAGGTCGGGCTTTCGATTTTCGCTAAAAAAAATATCTGTACCACATAAAACAAAATACCACCAGCTTAGCCCCCCGTCCTCCCCTCTCCAGGCACACCTCTGCATTAACCTCACACAAAGTATACAACATCCTTACAACTACAACTAAACAAGGTATAAACACAATACTATGGAAGCAAATCCAGAAAAGAAAGGCAGGCTGAAATCGGAGTCAATGACCTCAATGGCGCATAACCAGTTGACATGTATGACATGGTGATGGAGGCTTGGTCGATTCGGCTAAAGCTAATGGTTGATAAATTCGAAAAAGTCTCGAGTTCAAACCCTCTGGCAGATAAGGCTCGATCCCCTCCAACACTAAAAATTAAGAACGAAGAAGAAGAAGAAGCTCCCCGTCCTCCCCTCTCCAGGCACACCTCCGCATTAACCTCACACAAAGTATACAACATCCTTACAACTACAACTAAACAAGGTAGAAACACTACGCTCAACCCGGAGTGGTCATGACGGAAAATGTATGAGTATAAACTCCGTAAGTCCCCAGTTCGAACCCTCGCTAGCCCTTGTGGACAGAGACCCATCTAGGAGAGAAAACTCCAAAATCAAACAAACTGCTGCCTTGCTGATTGTTTCTGGATGGGGTGAAGGCTACGGAGGCACATTCATGAAAGGCAGGAGGTAATTAATTCCCTTTAAAATTACAATCAATAAGACAAATCCCGGGGAAAGGAAGGATATATTAGACATTATATTGGCTTGACATATTCCTTTGGGGAGCAAATGGCTGCAATCACACCTCTCCACTGCGTTCAGTTTTAGGGAGGTTCATATTTACAAAATATATTTTTAACAAGTCCTCTCGACTCTTACTTCACCGTTTTGTAATTTAATGTATAAAAAAGTTTCACCAAAGGGTTAACACCCCTTTATACGCCCTCTAATCAAATCGTGCGTTATCGATTTTAAAAAGTCCCTTCTCTTATTGATAATAATCGACCTTAAAATACAGGAATTCCCAAAGTTAAAAATAGACTGTTGTGTTCTAGCTTAAATTAACGTGTATTGACACGTTAAATGGTGTGTCAGAAAACAACTTTTATTAATATTGGTAAATGAAAGAATTATCAGGTAAGGGGTATTAAGCGTACTACATGTTAGTGGTGAATGGACCCATGAAAGTCACACGGATTCGAGTCAAGAACCACAAAACAAATGGGGCAGATGAAGTAGAGTTCATCTGTTTCAGAGAACTCGGCGTATAAAGGGATAGTGTGCCCAGCAGTCTTTGTTTTCTAGCTCTCTACCGCTAGGCCACACTGTCCCACTGTATACAACATAGGAAGCGATACAAGCAGTGTTTCTTCCAGACTTTTTTCTCCGGGGGGGGGGGGGCGGGGGGCACTTGAAATTTTCGGGGGGGGGGGGCGGTAGACTTTCTTCGGGGGGGGGGGCGGACACTGTTAAAATTATATATTTTCTATATAAATTATATAAATTTAATTTCGTTCGGGGGGGGGGGGGGGGGGGCGGTAAAAAAATTTCGGGGGGGGGGGGATGCCTGGAAGAAGTATTACAATACGTTTTCAAAAGCATTGGGTGCCAATGACTAGCAGAGAGACGACTGCTTTTATTCAAAATTAGTATTTTAGGTTTTATTATTTTTAGATTCGTTCTTAACTAAATCGACACTGCATCAAGGGCGTAGCGAGGCGGGTGCGGGGGGTGCGGACCGCACCGGGTGACACCATTTAGGGGGGTGACACCAAGGCAAAAAATAGCAGTTTTTAATTAGAGTGTTAAATAGCCTTTTAAGAGGTGGGGGGTGCAAATCGAAGGTTTGAGGGGGGGGGGGGTGCAAATCGAAAGTTTGAGGGGGGGGGGGGTGTAAATCGAAAATTGAAAGTTTGTCCCCGGGAAGGGTCGTTGCGCCTCTGGGGGGTGACACCATTAAGTGCCGCACCGGGTGACACCCGTCCTCGCTACGCTACTGCACTGCATACAACCTAAAAGAAGCTATAAATTGCATTTATCGTTTTTTTAACGCCAGTCGAAACCCACCGTCCGTGAAAAACAGCTCATCGTCGAAGTTAGATTAAAAATAAGATAATCTTGCATAGTTATCACAGAAGAACGTATCTGGAATATTTGAAAGAAAAATCGCTGAAATAGAAATGGGACAAGATTGTCCTTTATGGACGACCGCTACAACGTTGCGTCTTGCGAGTTGTGGGGGGAGGGGGGGGGGAGGGGGGGGCAAAGTTAATGACGCGACATTTGTAGTCTGACTAATGGGATTTTTCTAGCGTGTGCGTATAGAGATGAGAGGTCAGGTCCGGTTTTACCGCACGTCTGTACTACAAACGTTTTGGCCGCGGATATTTTGATCACGGACTTCTAAAAAAAAAATTTAAGGGGCTATTGTCTTTAATTTAGTATGAATTTATAAACAGTTGAACAAAAAACAGTTCTTAACAAAACGGGTTAAAAGTCTTGGTAATTTGACTGTATTCAAAACTAGAGAGTCACACGAATTTATCAACAAAACAAAGAGAAATATACTGTCCCCCAGTTGCTGTTTTACTCTATTAATTGTACTGCTTTTTAAATTTACAAATGTACACATATTTCAGTGTTTGTAATGTTCTACTTATATTGTACGACCTAAAAATACTATAGTAACCATAAATATACGCCAATTTAAGGTGAAACTTTACGTCACAAATCTACAGCGGCCTATTCGTTAATGTATTAGCTCTCATCATTCTCATATATATATATATATATATATATATATATATATATATATATATATATATATATATATATATATATATATATATATCCACGCTAATTTGATCACTTCAATCATACCTCGCCCCTTTCTTCTTCACTGTCTCATATCGTCACAAAAACCAGACCCCCACACCAAAAAGACGCCACGCCTCAGCCGACACGTTACGGCTGAGCAGGAGTCTGACAACACTATCCTTTTAAATGCTTAGACCACAGAAACAGATATACTCTACTCCACCTGCCCAGTTTTAGTATATGTATATAGCGTTATATTAAAACATACATACATATATATATATATATATATATATATATATATATATGTATATATATATATATATATATATATATATATATATATATATATATATATATATATATATATATATATATATACATATATATATATATATATATATATATATATATATATATATATATATATATATATATATATATATATATATATATATATATATATATATATATATATATATGTATATAAAAGTATGTATAATTTATATATAAATAATATATATATATATATATATATATATATATATATATATATATATATATATATATATATATATATATATATATATATTCAGAGAAAGCGGTAGATTAGAGTTCTTGTAATCAGTTACGTTATCCCGGTATCAGTTTGGTGCAGGTCGTAAGACTTGAAGTGGTGCAGTTAGTCCTGTACCAACACGACATACACGACATACACCAGCAACTTCCTGGTCCTGTTATCATCGCTCCTACAGTGGACCAACCACGTGACAACCGCATTGGCCATCCTTGTCTCACTACACATCAGTAGACTGGCGTGTGAGGGATGAGAGAGGGGGTGAGAGGGATTCAGAGTCCCAGTCTCACACTCACGTAACTACTCAGTTTCCTGCTTGATTGAAGTACTCACTTACCGTCCTCTATCCGGTTTGTGCAAGTGTTGGGAAAACTCAGTGTAACTTGTTCCGTCATTTGGTTGATCCGCCTTTTAAGTATACCATTGTTATATAAACATTGTTTTATATATATATATATATATATATATATATATATATATATATATATATATATATATATATATATATATATATATATATATAAAACAATGTTTACTTAAAAGGCGGATCAACCTAATGACGGAACAAGTTACACTGAGTTTATATATATATATATATATATATATATATATATATATATATATATATATATATATATATATATATATATATATATAAAAGCCTATTTATATTCATATATATATGCCTATATGTATACCTATATATATATATATATATATATATATATATATATATATATATATATATATATATATATATATATATATATATTTATTTATATATATATATATAAGATATATAAATAAGTAAATATATATATAATTGTATATATAGTTTGTATGTGTTTTGTTGTGTGATTATTTGTATATTTCTTTAAAAGAAGCAGACACAATACCTAAATTTCATAGTGGAAAATTGCCGTTGTCTCAAGGAAAATAATTACTAAACTTCACAGTCAACCCCACAGTGCCTTCACCAGACTCCCATTTTTATTGTTTAGTAATGTATGTAATGTATGTAATAACTTCTTTCAAACCTAAAGCAAATCGAAACATTTAATTTTGTTTTATTTTTATTTAAATTTTTTTCCGCCTCAGACATGTAATTTACAGTGTCAGTTTGCCTTGCATGTTCGCTTTAGTATTACAGTTTTCATCATCGGCTTATAAGGACTGATACAGATTTACAATAGTAATATTTCTTTCTTACTTGTAGCCTACCTTCATTCATTTAAGATGGTTTACTTATACATAGATCTAATACAAAACGTCTAAAAATAAAAAGATAAAAAACAACAACCTGAAAATGCAATTGTGTAATTAAATGATGATTCAAGGGATTTTTTTTTCCATCAGCGTGAGGGGCTGGGGGGGGGGGGGGATTTGGGTTTTAAGTAGAGCTACTAATTCAACATTCTTAATGAGGTAACAACCTTTTTAGCCTCCCTCCCATTTTATATAGTTGTTGCGTGTGTTATACAAGAAATTTGGTAAGTCCGGTTACGTAGATATAAATATGATGTGTGAACATTTGTAATTTTACAGTAGGATTCACACACCAACCTTCACCCGCTCTTGACATTATATCACGACACCTTCGTTTAATGACGCAACATGTTGTATGTCACACTCAGGTTCCGTAATTGAGAAACTTAGATTTAATTTTTCAGTCTGAGTCGTTTCCCTTTCAATGCAGTTCTTAGATTAGACGAAGGATGATACCATTGAACGGTGAATAATATACTTCTAAAATAAACTGTCATACATTGATTGGGTAAGAAAACTTTAAACTCCTAGATATGTGATAAACGTGTGATTTTAAAAGTCAGTAATCTTTTGTGTGATCATGTGAAAAGTTTATTGAACGTACGTTCTGTAAATGGTGTATTCTGTAAATGGTGTATTCTGTAAATGGTGTATTCTGTAAATTGTGTATTCAGTAAATGGTGTGTTTTGCAAACGTTGTAATCTGTAAATGGTGTATTCTGTAAATGGTGTATTCTGTAAATGGTGTATTATGTCAATGATGTATTCTGTAAATAGTGTATTCTGTAACTAGTTTATTCTGTCAATGGTGTATTCTGTAAATGATGATGTATTCTGTAAATGGTGTATTCTGGAAATGGTGTTTTTTTGTAAATGGTGTATTCTGTCAATAGTCTATTCTGTGAATGGTGTGTTCTGTAAATGATGTTTTCTGTAAATGTGTATTCTGTAAATGGTGTAGTCTGTAAATGGTGTATTCTGGAAATGGTGTTTTTTTGTAAATGGTGTATTCTGTCAATAGTCTATTCTGTGAATGGTGTGTTCTGTAAATGTGTATTCTGTAAATGGTCTATTCTGTAAATGTTGTATTCTGTAAATGGTGTAATATGTAAATTGAGCATTTAGTAAACAAAACATGTTTGTTTGAGTAAAGTTCTACCATACATTGTAGTGTTACAGCATCCCATATTGTCACGAGATGATGTCATACATTTCATGTCACCATGACCTGCGGATAGGTTGTAAAAAATGTAGAATGTATCAATATCTCTTTATTGAAAATTAACATGCAGTAATAATAGTGGTATTAATACATGATTAATATTACTATCAGATAAGTTATTTTAAATCAAGTTCCTTGTAGTGGTCAATATTAATACAGTTGTTGAATGGGTTGATTGATGGGTGGGAAGGTGGGGGGGAGAATGGTTAGTTGGTGGGTGGGTGGGTCTGTGTCTGTGTGGATAGATATTGCATGTAACTAAAATTGATTGAAACGTGTGCATATATATATATATATATATATATATATATATATATATATATATATATATATATATATATATATATATATATATGTATATTTACTTTCAGATATGCGTGCATAGAAAATTAATTGCCGTTAAATTTGATTGATTATATCAAATACAGGGATGAATAATGTTATTAATTAATATATTGCCTATTTGATTGGGCTGATAAGTTTTTAAAGGCAAATATGTGGACAGACAAGCCTACGATCACGTGAGCATTATGTGTATGTATATAAATAAAACTAACTCCAGTGTATTTGGACCAGAAAGAAACATTAGCAGACTTACAAGCTTAACGGATCTACATCGTAAGTATTTTTACTCATTTGTTTTTACTTGATTTTTCTGTCTTCAGAGTTTCTTCCAGGCATCTCTTCGCCCCCGAAAAAATTCCACCACCCCCACGAACGAAATGAAATTTTTATAATTTATATAGAAAATATATACTTTTAACAGGGTCCGCCCCCCCGAAGAAAGTCTACCGCCCCCCAAGTGCCACGCTCCCCCCCCCCCCCACCCGGAGAAAAAAGTCTGGAAGAAACACTGTCTGTCTTCATAAGAAAATTACTGAAATAATTTTCTCAGTTTTTTTTTAATTTTAGAATTTTTCGAAATTAAATACTAGCGCAATACTGACGTTAAATGTCGTGGATAAATATTAAAACATCATCTGAAAAAATAAGATTTATAATTTCAAACCAAATGTAAATCGATTAGTTGTTATTGTTGTTGACCAACCTTTGGGACAAGGAGTTTACCAAACCTGATCAAATCAAATCATACACATGAACTATATTAGAACCAAACTAAGTATGAAACTGGCTAACACAGTGCAATAGATCTATTTACATGTACCCTACATTTACAATATTAGTAACATAAAAAAAAATTTAAATGATCTTTTTATACATTCGCACTACTCACAAACAGTTCAGTCAGATATACAGCAACAGGCGGGGTATCAGCTCAGTTCATCACACTATAAGACCTCAGTTCAAATGGTAATACAACAGTGCAGTGACATCTAGCGGACAGGTACAGAGACATATGGCCAATAGGTACAGTTACATCTAGTTGACAAGTAGTGGCATTTGGCCTATTAGTACAGTGACATTTGGCCAATAGGTACAGTTACATCTAGTTGACAAGTAGTGGCATTTGGCCTATTAGTACAGTGACATTTAGCCTTTTGGTACAGTGACATTTGGCCAATAGGTACAGTTACATCTAGTTGACAAGTAGTGGCATTTGGCCTATTAGTACAGTGACATTTGGCCAATAGGTACAGTTACATCTAGTTGACAAGTAGTGGCATTTGGCTCATTAGTACAGTGACCTTTGGCCAATAGGTACAGTTACATCTAGTTGACAAGTAGTGGCATTTGGCCTATTAGTACAGTGACATTTAGCCTTTTGGTACAGTGACATTTGGCCAATACGTACAGTTACATCTAGTTGACAAGTAGTGGCATTTGGCCTATTAGTACAGTGACATTTGGCCAATAGGTACAGTTACATCTAGCTGACAAGTAGTGGCATTTGGCCTATTAGTACAGTGACATTTGGCCAATAGGTACAGTTACATCTAGCTGACAAGTAGTGGCATTTGGCCTTTTGGTACAGTGACATTTGGCCTTTTGGTACAGAGACATTTGGCCAATAGGTACAGTTACATCTAGCTGACAGGTAGTGGCATTTGGCTCATTAGTGCAGTGACATTTGGCCTTTTGGTACAGTGACATTTGGCCAATAGGTACAGTTACATCTAGTTGACAAGTAGTGGCATTTGGCCTATTAGTACAGTGACATTTGGCCTTTTGGTACAGTGACATTTGGCCAATAGAGATACAGTTATATCTAGCTGACAAGTAGTGACATTTGGCCTATTAGTACAGTGACATTTGGCCTTTTGGTACAGTGACATTTGGCCAATAGAGGTACAGTTAAATCTAGCTGACAAGTACAGTGACATTTGGCCAATTAGTACAGTGACATTTGGCCTATTAATACAGCGACATTTGGCCAATAGGTACAGTTACATCTAGCTGACAAGTAGTGGCATTTGGCCTATTAGTACAGTGACATTTGGCCAATAGGTACAGTTACATCTATTTGACAAGTAGTGGCATTTGGATCATTAGTACAGTGACATTTGGCCTTTTGGTACAGTGACATTTGGCCAATAGGTACAGTTACATCTAGCTGACAAGTAGTGGCATTTGGCCTATTAGTACAGTTACATTTGGCCTTTTGGTACAGTGACATTTGGCCAATAGGTACAGTTACATCTAGCTGACAAGTAGTGGCATTTGGCCTATTAGTACAGTGACATTTGGCCTTTTGGTACAGTGACATTTGGCCAATAGGTACAGTGACATCTAGCTGACAAGTAGTGGCATTCGGCCTATTAGTACAATGACATTTGGCCGCCTTTTGGTACAGTGACATTTGGCCAATAGGTACAGTTACATCTAGTTGACAAGTAGTGGCATTTGGCTCATTAGTACAGTGACATTTGGCCTTTTGGTACAGTGACATTTGGCCAATAGGTACAGTTACATCTAGCTGACAAGTAATGGCATTTGGCCTATTAGTACAGTTACATTTGGCCTTTTGGTACAGTGACATTTGGCCAATAGGTACAGTTACATCAAGCTGAAAAGTAGTGGTATTTGGCCTATTAGTACAGTGACATTTGGCCTTTTGGTATAGTGACATTTGGCCAATAGGTACAGTGACATCTAGCTGACAAGTAGTGGCATTTGGCCTATTGGTACAATGACATTTGGCCTTTCGGTACAGTGACATTTGGCCAATAGGTACAGTTACATCTAGTTTACAAGTAGTGGCATTCGGCCTATTAGTACAGCGACATTTGGCCGCCTTTTGGTACAGTGACATTTGGCCAATAGGTACAGTTACATCTAGTTGACAAGTAGTGGCATTTGGCCTATTAGTACAGTGACATTTGGCCAATAGGTACAGTTACATCTTGCTGACAAGTAGTGGCATTGGCCTTTTGGTACAGTGACATTTGGCCAATAGGTACAGTTACATCTAGTTGACAAGTACAGTGACATTTGGCCTATTAGTACAGTGACATTTGGCCTATTAGTACAGCGACATTTGGCCAATAGGTACAGTTACATCTATCTGGCAAGTAGTGGCATTTGGCCTATTAGTACAGTGACATTTGGCCTTTTGGTACAGTGACATTTGGCCAATAGGTACAGTTACATCTAGCTGACAAGTAGTGGCATTTGGCCTATTAGTACAGTGACATTTGGCCTTTTGGTACAGTGACATCTAGCTGACAAGTAGTGGCATTTAGCCTTTTGGTACAGTGACATTTGGCCTTTTGGTACAGTGACATTTGGCCAATAGAGGTACAGTTATATCTAGCTGACAAGTAGTGACATTTGACCTATTAGTACAGTGACATTTGGCCTTTTGGTACAGTGACATTTTGCCAATAGAGGTACAGTTACATCTAGCTTACAAGTACAGTGACATTTGGCCTATTAGTACAGTGACATTTGGCCTATTAGTACAGCGACATTTGGCCAATAGGTACAGTTACATCTAGCTGACAAGTAGTGGCATTTGGCCTATTAGTACAGTGACATTTGGCCAATAGGTACAGTTACATCTAGTTGACAAGTAGTGGCATTTGGCTCATTAGTACAGTGACATTTGGCCTATTAGTACAGCGACATTTGGCCAATAGGTACAGTTACATCTAGCTGACAAGTAGTGGCATTTGGCCTATTAGTACAGTGACATTTGGCCAATAGGTACAGTTACATCTAGTTGACAAGTAGTGGCATTTGGCCTATTAGTACAGTGACATTTGGCCAATAGGTACAGTTACATCTAGCTGACAAGTAGTGGCATTTGGCCTATTAGTACAGTGACATTTAGCCTTTTGGTACAATGACATTTGGCCAATACGTACAGTTACATCTAGTTGACAAGTAGTGGCATTTGGCCTATTAGTACAGTGACATTTGGCCAATAGGTACAGTTACATCTAGCTGACAAGTAGTGGCATTTGGCCTATTAGTACAGTGACATTTGGCCAATAAGTACAGTTACATCTAGCTGACAAGTAGTGGCATTTGGCCTATTAGTACAGTGACATTTGGCCAATAGGTACAGTTACATCTAGCTGACAAGTACAGTGACATTTGGCCTATTAGTACAGTGACATTTGGCCTATTAATACAGCGACATTTGGGCAATAGGTACAGTTACATCTAGCTGACAAGTAGTGGCATTTGGCCTATTAGTACAGTGACATTTGGCCAATAGGTACAGTTACATCTAGTTGACAAGTAGTGGCATTTGGCTCATTAGTACAGTGACATTTGGCCTTTTGGTACAGTGACATTTGGCCAATAGGTACAGTTACATCTAGCTGACAAGTAGTGGCATTTGGCCTATTAGTACAGTTACATTTGGCCTTTTGGTACAGTGACATTTGGCCAATAGGTACAGTTACATCTAGCTGACAAGTAGTGGCATTTGGCCTATTAGTACAGTGACATTTGGCCTTTTGGTACAGTGACATTTGGCCAATAGGTACAGTTACATCTAGCTGACAAGTAGTGGCATTTGGCCTATTAGTACAGTGACATTTGGCCTTTTGGTACAGTGACATCTAGCTGACAAGTAGTGGCATTTAGCCTTTTGGTACAGTGACATTTGGCCTTTTGGTACAGTGACATTTGGCCAATAGAGGTACAGTTATATCTAGCTGACAAGTAGTGACATTTGACCTATTAGTACAGTGACATTTGGCCTTTTGGTACAGTGACATTTGGCCAATAGAGGTACAGTTACATCTAGCTAATAAATACAGTGACATTTGGCCTATTAGTACAGTGACATGTGGCCTATTAGTACAGCGACATTTGGCCAATAGGTACAGTTACATCTAGCTGACAAGTAGTGGCATTTGGCCTATTAGTACAGTGACATTTGGCCAATAGGTACAGTTACATCTAGTTGACAAGTAGTGGCATTTGGCTCATTAGTACAGTGACATTTGGCCTATTAGTACAGCGACATTTGGCCAATAGGTACAGTTACATCTAGCTGACAAGTAGTGGCATTTGGCCTATTAGTACAGTGACATTTGGCCAATAGGTACAGTTACATCTAGTTGACAAGTAGTGGCATTTGGCCTATTAGTACAGTGACATTTGGCCAATAGGTACAGTTACATCTAGCTGACAAGTAGTGGCATTTGGCCTATTAGTACAGTGACATTTAGCCTTTTGGTACAATGACATTTGGCCAATACGTACAGTTACATCTAGTTGACAAGTAGTGGCATTTGGCCTATTAGTACAGTGACATTTGGCCAATAGGTACAGTTACATCTAGCTGACAAGTAGTGGCATTTGGCCTTTTGGTACAGTGACATTAGGCCAATAAGTACAGTTACATCTTGCTGACAAGTAGTGACATTTGGCCTTTTGGTACAGTGACATCTAGTTGACAAGTACAGTGACATTTGGCCTATTAGTACAGTGACATTTGGCCTATTAGTACAGCGACATTTGGCCAATAGGTACAGTTACATCTATCTGGCAAGTAGTGGCATTTGGCCTATTAGTACAGTGACATTTGGCCTTTTGGTACAGTGACATTTGGCCAATAGGTACAGTTACATCTAGCTGACAAGTAGTGGCATTTGGCCTATTAGTACAGTGACATTTGGCCTTTTGGTACAGTGACATCTAGCTGACAAGTAGTGGCATTTAGCCTTTTGGTACAGTGACATTTGGCCTTTTGGTACAGTGACATTTGGCCAATAGAGGTACAGTTATATCTAGCTGACAAGTAGTGACATTTGACCTATTAGTACAGTGACATTTGGCCTTTTGGTACAGTGACATTTGGCCAATAGAGGTACAGTTACATCTAGCTTACAAGTACAGTGACATTTGGCCTATTAGTACAGTGACATTTGGCCTATTAGTACAGCGACATTTGGCCAATAGGTACAGTTACATCTAGCTGACAAGTAGTGGCATTTGGCCTATTAGTACAGTGACATTTGGCCAATAGGTACAGTTACATCTAGTTGACAAGTAGTGGCATTTGGCTCATTAGTACAGTGACATTTGGCCTATTAGTACAGCGACATTTGGCCAATAGGTACAGTTACATCTAGCTGACAAGTAGTGGCATTTGGCCTATTAGTACAGTGACATTTGGCCAATAGGTACAGTTACATCTAGTTGACAAGTAGTGGCATTTGGCCTATTAGTACAGTGACATTTGGCCAATAGGTACAGTTACATCTAGCTGACAAGTAGTGGCATTTGGCCTATTAGTACAGTGACATTTAGCCTTTTGGTACAATGACATTTGGCCAATACGTACAGTTACATCTAGTTGACAAGTAGTGGCATTTGGCCTATTAGTACAGTGACATTTGGCCAATAGGTACAGTTACATCTAGCTGACAAGTAGTGGCATTTGGCCTATTAGTACAGTGACATTTGGCCAATAAGTACAGTTACATCTAGCTGACAAGTAGTGGCATTTGGCCTATTAGTACAGTGACATTTGGCCAATAGGTACAGTTACATCTAGCTGACAAGTACAGTGACATTTGGCCTATTAGTACAGTGACATTTGGCCTATTAATACAGCGACATTTGGGCAATAGGTACAGTTACATCTAGCTGACAAGTAGTGGCATTTGGCCTATTAGTACAGTGACATTTGGCCAATAGGTACAGTTACATCTAGTTGACAAGTAGTGGCATTTGGCTCATTAGTACAGTGACATTTGGCCTTTTGGTACAGTGACATTTGGCCAATAGGTACAGTTACATCTAGCTGACAAGTAGTGGCATTTGGCCTATTAGTACAGTTACATTTGGCCTTTTGGTACAGTGACATTTGGCCAATAGGTACAGTTACATCTAGCTGACAAGTAGTGGCATTTGGCCTATTAGTACAGTGACATTTGGCCTTTTGGTACAGTGACATTTGGCCAATAGGTACAGTGACATCTAGCTGACAAGTAGTGGCATTCGGCCTATTAGTACAATGACATTTGGCCGCCTTTTGGTACAGTGACATTTGGCCAATAGGTACAGTTACATTTAGTTGACAAGTAGTGGCATTTGGCTCATTAGTACAGTGACATTTGGCCTTTTGGTACAGTGACATTTGGCCAATAGGTACAGTTACATCTAGCTGACAAGTAATGGCATTTGGCCTATTAGTACAGTTACATTTGGCCTTTTGGTACAGTGACATTTGGCCGATAGGTACAGTTACATCAAGCTGAAAAGTAGTGGTATTTGGCCTATTAGTACAGTGACATTTGGCCTTTTGGTACAGTGACATTTGGCCAATAGGTACAGTGACCTCTAGCTGACAAGTAGTGGCATTTGGCCTATTGGTACAATGACATTTGGCCTTTCGGTACAGTGACATTTGGCCAATAGGTACAGTTACATCTAGTTTACAAGTAGTGGCATTCGGCCTATTAGTACAGTGACATTTGGCCGCCTTTTGGTACAGTGACATTTGGCCAATAGGTACAGTTACATCTAGTTGACAAGTAGTGGCATTTGGCCTATTAGTACAGTGACATTTGGCCAATAGGTACAGTTACATCTTGCTGACAAGTAGTGGCATTTGGCCTTTTGTTACATGGTACGGTGACATTTGGCCTTTTGGTACAGTGACATCTAGTTGACAAGTACAGTGACATTTGGCCTATTAGTACAGTGACATTTGGCCTATTAGTACAGCGACATTTGGCCAATAGGTACAGTTACATCTATCTGGCAAGTAGTGGCATTTGGCCAATTAGTACAGTGACATTTGGCCTTTTGGTACAGTGACATTTGGCCAATAGGTACAGTTACATCTAGCTGACAAGTAGTGGCATTTGGCCTATTAGTACAGTGACATTTAGCCTTTTGGTACAGTGACATTTGGCCAATAGAGGTACAGTTATATCTAGCTGACAAGTAGTGACATTTGACCTATTAGTACAGTGACATTTGGCCTTTTGGTACAGTGACATTTGGCCAATAGAGGTACAGTTACATCTAGCTGACAAGTACAGTGACATTTGGCCTATTAGTACAGTGACATTTGGCCTATTAGTACAGCGACATTTGGCCAATAGGTACAGTTACATCTAGCTGACAAGTAGTGGCATTTGGCCTATTAGTACAGTGACATTTGGCCAATAGGTACAGTTACATCTAGTTGACAAGTAGTGGCATTTGGCTCATTAGTACAGTGACATTTGGCCTTTTGGTACAGTGACATTTGGCCAATAGGTACAGTTACATCTAGCTGACAAGTAGTGGCATTTGGCCTATTAGTACAGTTACATTTGGCCTTTTGGTACAGTGACATTTGGCCAATAGGTACAGTTACATCTAGCTGACAAGTAGTGGCATTTGGCCTATTAGTACAGTGACATTTGGCCAATAGGTACAGTTACATCTTGCTGACAAGTAGTGGCATTTGGCCTTTTGGTACAGTGACATTTGGCCTTTTGGTGCAGTGACATCTAGCTGACAAGTACAGTGACATTTGGCCAATTAGTACAGTGACATTTGGCCTATTTGTACAGCGACATTTGGCCAATAGGTATAGTTACATCTAGCTGACAAGTAGTGGCATTTGGCCTATTAGTACAGTGACATTTGGCCTTTTGGTACAGTGACATCTAGCTGACAAGTACAGTGACATTTGGCCTTTTGGTACAGTGACATCTAGCTGACAAGTAGTGGCATTTGGCCTATTAGTACAGTGACATTTGGCCTTTTGGTACAGAGACATTTGGCCAATAGGTACAGTTACATCTAGCTGACAAGTAGTGGCATTTGGTCTATTAGTACAGTGGCATTTGGCCTATTAGTACAATGATATCTAGCTGACAGATTCAGTGCCATCTGGCTGACAGATTCAGTGATATCTGGCCAAATGGTACAGTGACATTTAAACTCACTATCCCAAAAAGGTGCCTGAACAAACAAATAACACAACAACAACAAGAATAAACCAAACACACACAAATCGCACACTATTCTACTAATAAATGTACATGATCGATCACAAACTTTACATTATATATTTAAATTTTTAAAATTTTTCAACAGGCTGCAATTAAGATAAATTTACACAACTTAATTGGAAAACTAATTCTTATTGCGTCTACAGGTTTTCATAATGGCGTTTATCCTTCTGACTATGAGCTACTTTGTTCAGCTACTGTTGCCAGTTGAAGGTTCTCTAGACAAACCACTGATGTTGTCACCTCTAATCAGCAATCGTCAAATCAAGCAAGCGAAGGAGCTAAGTCTTGTAAAAGATGAGAAATCTGTCATACCGAACAGCCACGCTGGGTTCATTACTGTGGACAAGAAACTCGGAAACCATTTGTTTTTCTGGTTCTTTCCCTCAACGTCTGGGGCTGAATCTCCGCTTGTGGTTTGGCTAAATGGTGGCCCGGGAAATCCATCCACATTGGGGTTGTTTTTTGAGAACGGTCCGATCCGTCTTAAGAGCAACGGATACGAACGTAGCAACATTTCGTGGACACAGACAATGTCAATGTTGTACATAGACAACCCCGTCGGCGTCGGCTTCAGCTATTCAGACAGTGGGAGCGCCGGATATAGGATTGACCAAGATGGCTATTCTAAAGATCTTTATGAGTTTATTGAACAGTTTTATCTTTTATTTCCTGAATATCAGAAGAGAAAGCTCTACATAGGCGGAAAGTCTTATGGCGGGAAGTACGTTCCGGCATTCGCTTATCGTTTGCATGTAGAAATCGAAGCTGGCAGATCAAAAATTCCTTTAGCCGGTATTTATATGGGAGGGCCACTCTTCGATCCTTACTATCAATTTCTTGCATCATCTGACTATCTATTTGCCGTGGGAGCCGTATCAAGAAAACAATTAACACGACAAAAAGAACGTTTTATAAATCTTTATAAAGATTTCAGAAGTAATCGACTTAACATCAATACCATGCAAGACCTTTTAGTACGCGTCGTTGTAAATCCAAATATACCTTTAGACAACTACTATTCTGCGGAAAACCCTCCATATGAAGAACTTGAAAAACTTATGACTGGAAGAGCTATGAAACAGCTTGTCCACGTAGGGAACAGCAGCTTTTTACTGCTCGATTCTAAAGTTGGAGATTACATGATTAAAGATATATTGACCAGCACAAAACCCAAACTAGCCGAACTTGTGGAGAAATACAAAGTTTTGATTTACGGAGGTGATCTTGACGCTCTTGTGAGTCCTGCTATGATTGATGCGGCCCTGCTGTCCATGAAGTGGTCCAGACAAGAAGAATACAACAACGCGACACGTTCTGTTTGGTTGGGTGATGATGGCGCGCTGTCTGGGTTCTATTCCAGAACTGGGAACCTCTGCCAGGTTGTCATTAAAGGTGCCGGACATTCGGCGGGCTATGACCAGCCAAAGAGAGCGTATGACATGATGAATTTTTTCATTCAGCAAGGCTGTATCGGCAAGTGATGGACCCATCGCATATCAACGATTGAAATGAGAAGCAATAGTAGAGTTATATATTTTTAAAGTAAATAAACATTTGCACCTTAAAATTTACAAACGAAAATGGAAGATAAATTATAATTATCAAGTAAATAAAGCTACGAATCTTGCGTTTTTTGTTGTTGTGTATATATCACACAGAAAAATATTTATAACACTCTCCCTTACACAATCTTAGCCCTAATCCTAGCTCTTACCTTATTTCTGACACTTAGCCCAAACCTAAGCTCTTAGCCACAATCCGTTTTCTTTTCCCCACTTAATCTAATTCATACGGATTACGGCTAATAAAATAGTCTAAAACGCGATTTTTTGGTCTGGTATTTATAAAACAACCAATTAGATCATCAAATAGTACAAAACATTTTTTTAATTGCAAAAAAAAAAAAACGAATTTAAATTTTTATTTTTTCCTTAAAAATAAAATGAATTTAGAGATATAAAATTAAAATCAACTATTCAGAGAACTATTTTTTCTAATTACAAAAAAAAAAGAAGAAAAAAAAAAAAAACAAAAAAAAAAACAAAAAAACAAAAAAAAACAAACAAACACCAAAAAGAACAAAAACCACAACAACAAAGAACTGCAAAATTGTATGTTTATAAGTAAAGCAGTCCATTTGGTGTTACCAGCAACCAGCAAATTAGGTTTTGCTCGTAGAACCTTTCCAATGAGTCGATTTGTTACTATTGTCGTCGTCATCGGCTGTACGTGTGAATAACATTTATTTAATAAAAAACGTTTTAATAACAAGCTTTTATGTAATAATGCACTAAAAAGTAGAAAATAAAGTATACCCTACTATTTAAATAATTATAAAGAAAAGCTTGTTATTAGAACATTTTATGAAATGTTTTAAGTACTTTACATGTTTTATGTACAATAGACTTGCATGACTAAAAACCATTGCGTACCTATTGAACATGATGACGCGTGTCTAATAGCGCGGAATAGTTTGATGAGACAGCCTAATAATTTGGACAAAATTTTAATTAATTCATAAAAAAGTTAATCAGGCAACCAATTAAGTCAATTTGAATGTCATGTTGCATTATCTTCATGTCTTGACCCACGTACCAACTACGAACTGTATCTGTCAGCTAGAGGTGCCTGCAATTTCCCTCGGGCGTTTCGATCTAGACAGACATACAGACTGACTGACGACAGATAGCGGAAGTGAGTTAAATAAAAGCTTGTAAAAATAGGAAATATTGAAATTTATGTCGGCCTGGGCCGTTTTGATTTATTTCCCGGGCCGCTTGGACGCAGCCAGTCTACCTCTGAAACAGTTAATATAAGGTCAGACATAAAGGCCTATCCACTAGTGTCTTTAAATTTTCCGACACAAAATTCAATTTACTTGAATGCCATAGAGAAAGATAAAGTAAGAGCCTTCATGTGCAGACTAAAACTTAAATATTAAGATGTGATCAACATTTTGTTTAATTAAACAAATATTTTAAAAGCTTGATGAAGTAAAGTAGGAGACGGTTTTCTCTTAGATTTAGGTATAAAACATGTGTCTGTGTGTGTCTGTCTGCTCTGCATTAGTACACCATTCAACGGATCGAAAGGAGACTACGCTGAAATGTGGAATATCCTACAATGAAGATGTCCCCATTAAAAATAATAAATATTGATAGTAAAGCGCCCGGACAGTAATATGCGTTCTGCCAGCCAGAGCTCCACTGCAGTTATTTTAGCACCTATGGTCAGCTGATTAAGCGTTCTGAGCAGGAGAGGGGGTCGGTAATAGGTACTACGTTCAAACTGTACCAGGCGCCTCCTCCGGTCGTGTGACCGAGCACCTCCATGAGTACTATGGCGCCGACTTTCGTTTCAAATAGTACCATACACTGGGTTTATACTATCGTTGACCAAATAAAGCAAGGGGTGTCTTCTAACGCCCCCTGCAGTAATGTATGGTGGGGCGCTTAGAGTTCCATAGCGGCGCCTATAGCACATAGGGGAAAGTTGATTAGGCGTCCTGCAAAGGGGTCAGGAGAACTACTTGATTCAACGGTCAAACAGCACCAGGGACGGTCCGGGTTCCCCTATAGGCACAATGGCGCCTACATTTGTTTTAAAGTGCACGCTACATTAGGTTAAACCGTACCAGAGGTCGGACCTGGTATAAAAACCCGTGCTTTAACAACAAAAATTCAAGAAATAAGTTGACGGTATTGTTTACATTTTAATACCTCACTTTTAAATCTAAGCGGATGGAATGATTGTTTTATCATAATTTTGCGAATTGTTTATTGTTTGTTTTTTGTCATTTTGCAAATTTAATTTTCCACGTATTGAATGTTCTTCCGTCCGGTGTCTGTGGCTTTATGCGTCCCATGAGCCGTGAAATGCGGCTTGAGCCACCTTCACACCCAGTCCATGAGCCGTAGGTTGCGGCTCGACAGCATTACTGTTTGTGTCACGCTAAAATCACGTCCAATATTTACAGCAACTTGTACAAATTCATGTTTTTAAATACTCTACACCCGGGTATTTCTTTCGGTTAAAAAATTTATGTATCTAGATTAAGGTTAGGGATTAACTGGGAGTGTATCTAGATTAAGGTTTGTGATATTAGGGTTAAGCCACGGTTGCACTGACGCACGATGGTTAGTAGTCATACGGGTCGATTAGATATAGGTTTTACATCTCTACCCCCCCCCCCCCCCCACCCCACCCAATTGTCAGGGCTTACATAAAAGCAAGGTCGAACGTCTGAAAAATACACGAGAAAACACCTTGATGAAAATCTTGCAGAATGTAGCGTCAGCTTGGTGTGTAGTGCTAAACTTGGAGAGTTTGCTTCTAACATGGGCAACAATATCTGACCAGCTTGCGTGTAGGGAAACTTGATCTATTTGTTTACCAGATGGAAAAGCGAAAAAAAATTATTGAGTATCGAGAACAACACAGAAAGGACACTTTTAAATGTTTTGTTTTTTAAATATTAAAATAAATAACACTTTTCAAAATTGCAACAATATTTAAATTGAGTGCTTTCAAGACGCTGGTACCTAATTTTCTCCATTCTGAGATAGCAGCCACGAGCGACGGGTACACTTGTTCCTTATACATTACTGGAAAGCAAAAAAAAAAAAAAATTATATTATAGCTTATCTTGTTAAAAATTTCAGAAATAAACGTTAAATAAACGTAACTTTCACACTGCGGGTAATCACATCATAATGTCACCACGATGTCAGATAATATGATGTAACACAGCACGATGTCATATAATTTAATGTAACATCACACGATGTCATATAATTTGATGTAACACAGCACGATGTCATATAATTTAATGTAACATCACACGATGTCATATAATTTGATGTTACACCACACGATGTCATATAATTTAATGTAACATTACACGATGTCATATAATTTAATGTAACATTACACGATGTCATATAATTTAATGTAACATTACACGATGTCATATAATTTGATGTAACATCACACGATGTCATATAATTTGATGTAACACCACACGATGTCATATAATTTAATGTAACATTACACGATGTCATATAATTTAATGTAACATTACACGATGTCATATAATTTAATGTAACATTACACGATGTCATATAATTTAATGTAACACCACACGATGTCATATAATTTGATGTAACATCGCACGATGTAATATAATTTGATATAACACTACATGATGCCATACAACAGAACCACACTCAGCCGCACCAGGTTGTCCCATTCATATGCAGATATCATTTCAATAATAACATGTGGATCATTAAAAAATCACTCGACACTAGCTATAAGTAAACATTTTCCAGCGCTCGCTATTTGGTGTATATATTTCAATTGAAATAATGAGTTTGTGGAGACCTGGTAGGCCTACAGCTGAGTAGAAAGATAATCATAGATCTAATAATAGTTTCAAGCTGTTTTTATTAGTATAATTAAATGCACATCTGCGTTGTTTTTTTTTAGTTCAATTACTTAAAAAAAGTTAATCAATCTTGCAGTTATTGTTAGTAGCGGTCAACGTTATTTTTAGTGTAGATAACTCTTCATAATAATACTGTGTCTAGATATTGGTGGTTGGGTATTAGAATTTAAGACTAGATTTTATTAGTTTTAAGTTAAGGTTCATGTTTAGGAAAAGATTTAGATGGATGAATGGATGGATGGATGGATAGATGGATGGATGGATGGATGGATGGATGGATGGATGGATGGATGGATGGCTGGCTGGCTGGCTGGCTGGCTGGCTGGCTGGCTGGATGGATGGATGGATGGATGGATGGATGGATGGATGGATGGATGGATGGATGGATGGATGGATGGATGGATGGATGGATGGATGGATGGATGGATGGATGGATGGATGGATGGATGGATGGATGGATGGATGGATGGATGGATGGATGGATGGATGGATGGATGGATGGATGGATGGATGGATGGATGGATGGATGGATGGATGGATGGATGGATGGATGGATGGATGGATGGATGGATGGATGGATGGATGGATGGATGGATGGATGGATGGATGGATGGATGGATGGATGGATGGATGGATGGATGGATGGATGGATGGATGGATGGATGGATGGACGGATGGACGGATGGACGGATGGATGGACGGATGGACGGATGGACGAATGGACGAATGGACGGACGGACGGACGTACGGACGGACGGATGGACCGATGGACGGACGGACGGGCGGATGGACGGACGGACGGATGGACGGATGAACGGATGGACGGATGGACGGATGGAAGGATGGATGGACGGATGGACGGATGGACGGATGGTCGGATGGACGGATGGATGGATGGATGGATATATGGATGGATGGATGGATGGATGAATGGCTGGACGGGTAGGACGGAATGAACGGGATGGATTGGATGTATGGGATGGATTGGATGGATAGATAAGTTGGTAGATTTGGCTGTGAAATAAAACTATTCCTCATACAAAAATTACAATGAAGAGATCCAAAGTCTTTTTTGTAGTCTGCTCAGTTTCTGTAGACGTTCTCCTGACCTTGGAGACGAAGTTGATAAAATATTTT